CAGCCAGCCACCTCACATTGCTGCATGGTGAGGCTCCACCGTGACCTGCTTTGGCGCTACACTGCGTTACTGGCCTCTGCTACATCTCACCACTTCATCTTCCTTGGCCTTGGGTTAGTGGCCATGAGTTGGAAGGACCTTTAGTATAAATCAACCCATCAATCATGTGTCCTGGTTTTGCTTCTCTAGAGAATCCTACCTCACACAGATATCAATATTTCCATTTCACTTTTAACTTCCAATTTTCTTAGATTCATACTTCATACATTCCAAGTTTCAATTATTAATTGGTTTGTAGCTGCTTCTTATTTAGAGTGGTGCCCCATAGCAAGTGAATTGAGGGTACTGCAGGCATTACTCCATCCATGTCGTGCTGGCTGACTCTACTTTGGGAAGGCAGCTCCACCTTAATCATATCTGGAGTGCCTTCCGACCTGAGGGGCTCATCTTCTGGCACTGTTTCTGACCATGTGCTGCTTGTACTCACTAGGATTTCAATAACTGACAATGTTTGGATGCTATCCATAGGGTTTTCAGATGCCCTCTCAGCATAGTAACCCATGTTTTTCTGCTTCAAAATGGCCAATAGGGGTCCATTTCAGCTCACTAGAATCTCAGATATTGATCTTTATATGCTCCATTTCATATGATGATTTCTAATTTTCCTAGATTCATACTTTGCACATTACAAGTTCTGATCAGTAGCAGAGTTTTGCAGTTATTTCTCCTTGAATTGTGGCTCATCAGCAAGTGAAGATCCTGAAAGTTCCACTCCCATAGGCTTACCCCCACCCCCATCACATCACCACGGTCTACCCCACTCTGGGAAAATCAGTCACACTTTGAGCGCTTGCTCACCCGAGGGGCCCATCCGGCGACACCATCTCCAACAACAGTCTGCTTCCATTCAGTAGTCTTCTAGCATCTGACAACGTTTTGAAGATATGCATAAGATTTTCATATGCTACTTCCTCCAAAGTGGGGAGCTAAGTCCTTCTTCATTGTCTGTTCTTAGTCTGGAAGCTCCGCTGAGACCTGTTCACTTTAGAGGACCCTGCTGGCATTTGAAAAAGCAGTCTCCAGCAACACAGCATCACAGAAGCCACCACAGAACGACAAAGTGACAGCAAGTGGTGGGTTTGAAGAAGAGTACAATGAATACTCAAGTACCAAGGTCTTCTGCAACTTACTCATTCACTGATTTTTACTTTAAAGCTAGGTTCTAATGAAGATTCACTCATCACATTTGGTTAAGATGACTCTTATGTGTTTTTAATCTAGGAAAGTTCTGCTTTACCTCAACTTTTATAATGAAATTGACTTTTTGGGGAGTCAAGGCCAGTTTAAATCTTTGCTTCTAATAAAAATGTTTTATAACCTGGGTCTTTTTTTTCCTTCAATAACTTAAAATGTGAGAATTTGAAATTTTACATTTTTTTAAATTAGCATATTGTCACCAAAAATATAATTGGAGAGTAATAACCTAAAATTTTAGGGAGGGTAACCAATCATTCCAGTTTGCCTATGACTGGGGAGACTCCACAAGCTCAGGATGTTCAGTGCCAGGGAAGTCCCAGGCAAATGGGGATGAATTGTGACTCCACCATTTGGTTACTCTTGGAGGGCATTTATTAAGGTAAATAGTTATGTTAATGATTAAAATAGTTTTCAAGTTGTGGTCATTTTCATTATACCAAGCAATTATTTGTATACCTTTTAAATTAGATGGCCTAAATTGTGTATAAATTATGCATTTGGATGTAATATATATGCTTGATAAAATAAATTTCCTATCTTCTCATATGTAAAAAACAAAACTAGCCGTGGTGCCCCAACAGGCTAGACTGGAAAACACTCCTAAAGGCCAACAAACAGTCCTTGAACTAACTACAAGCTTTTCTTTCTTGTTGTGTTTTGTTTTGTTTTTTGTCATTGATTTGCTGTTGTTGTTGTTTTGTTGTATATTGTTGCTTGGTTTTGCTCTGTCTTGTTTTTGTGCATGTTATTATTACCGCAGGTCTGGCTAAATAAGATAGGCTGGATGAACAATCTGGAGGAGAAAACAACGGGATTGACAGTTCCAGGGGGGCAATGGGAGAGGAGGAGGTGGGGGGGAAACGTAGTGGTATTAACAAAGCCAGGTACAAGGGAGCAACAAGTGATCCAAATCAGTGGTGAGGAGGGTGTAGGAGGCCTGGTAGGGCATGATCAAGGGTAATGTAACCAAGAGAAATTATTGAAACCCAGGTGGGGACTGAGCATGATAGTGGGACAGGAGGAAAGTCAAAAGAAATAGAGGAAAGAGCTGGGAGGCAAAGGCATTTATAGAGGTCTAGATAAAGACATGTACATATGCAGATACATTTATATATGAGGATGGGGAAATAGATCTATGTTCATATATTTATAGGGTTAGTATTAAGGTAGTAGAAGGATATTGGGCCTCCACTCAAGTACTCCCTCAATGCAAGAATACTTTCTTCTATTAAATTGGCATTCTATGATGCTCACCTTCCC